CAGCACCGCCCACCGCTACCTTTGAGATTAGGAAGGAATGATACACGCTGCAGCAGTGCGATAGAGAAGTGCATGTGCGTGCCTATCCGTGATTGCAAAAAAAATGACCAACGGCGATATTACCTTGTCCCTCACCCCGCGCGCGGGGGGTGGGGGGGGGGGGGGTACGCAACGAAGGATCACAATACTGAGGAATCTCGAAAAAGGTGAAGGACAGTCGTATGTCGCCCCCGCCTGTCCACCGACGAAGATGTTGCCTGCAAGCGTTTAATTGCTCCTCTGAGCGTACATTACCTCGAAAACGCCATCGTCTATTGTGAGAAGGCTGACGTCGAACGTCCCGCCTCCAAGGTCGTACACGAGGATGTTCTTCTCTTGAGATGATTTCTTGTCCATGCCGTACGCTAGAGCGGCGGCCGTCGGCTCATTGATGATCCTGCTTGCCGTCAACCCAGCGATCCTGGCGGCGTCCTATCTCGTCGTGGCATCCATGTATGTCAATGTAGAGGGGTGGAGTCACGTGTACAGGGGTCGGGGAACATATCTCAGAATGAACGTGTACAGTAAACCAACGTCTACGGCGGCTAGCAGAGTCGGAGTATTGAAGGGTGGCCAAGGTGACTGACCAAAGTAGAGAAGGTAGTGACCACTATGTAGATTTCTATACTCGACACGCACATGTAACGAAGAGTATGACGCGAAAAGTGAAAACAGCTAGAGTGTGTGTTGCTTTTGGGGAGCAATTGAGGCTACGAGAACATGCGAACTGTGCTTGACGCGTTCACGACGCACAGAGATCGCAGCCGCAACCGTTGTGTCCAGCACGCAAATGATGCCAGCCTATTCGTGTACCTCTGTTGCCTGGCGTTGGGCGTTGTTGAAGTAGGCAGGCACAGTGATGACAGCGTTGTACACTTGTTGGCCCAGAAAGTCCTCGGCGGTCTCCTTCATCTTCAAGAGCACCATCGCGCTAATTTCTTCAGGGGCAAAGGTCTTCTTCGAACCACCTACCTCCACCTGTGCGAATACGAACAAGGAACACCGTAGCAGACGGAGGTTTTAGTAACGTTGCCTATTTCCGACCTGTGTTTCACAGTTCGTGCGATTTGCTGGTAGTCTGAAATGACTTTGACTTCAGAATTGGAGAGGAGGCATCGGGGACAAGGCGGGTTGCTGGAAATAGATTATTCGGCACCATGATAGATCGAGGTCGGCCTTTGCAAGAGCAAAAACTCATTTCAAGGGTTGCGGAGACTCCGAAGGCCTTTCAAATATTCCCTGACACCTACGAACAACAACCCATGACAGCGCAAGTCTCACGCACCTCCACTGCCGCTTGTCTGTCTTGGCTGACCACCTTGAAGGGGAAGAGCTTCGCATCGGCTTGCACTGACTTCTCGTCAAACTGGCGGCCGATTATCCTCTTGATGTCGAATACGGTGTTCTCGGGGTTGATGGTGGCTTGATTTTTGGCCGCATCACCGATCAGGCGCTCTCCATTTACCGAGTCCCAGGCGACATATGACGGTCTTTACAAGAGTTACATCAGTTTTCACGAGGAGGCGCCGGTTATTCCCAGGTAAGATTTGTTGCAGGAGGCCCGTGGGTATTGTATATTCTAGGTATTCGTGAGTGCAACTAACAGGTGTATTTGGACCTTCATTGCATCAAAGAATGAATACTGTTGCTATTGACATTAACTCTGGGTACATGAGGGAAGTCAACCAAACTCTGCCATTGTACAGTAGACTGTAGTCTATGTTGGAGTCGACGATGGGCACGACGTAAGGCCTCTTGCTATCTACCTATCTTACAGAGTTTTGTGGACTCCGCGATTCGGACAAAAGTTACACTCACGTTATACGGTTGCCTTGGTCATTGGGAATGATGTCCACCCGGCCGTTTTGGACAACTCCGACACAGGAGTACGTTGTACCGAGGTCTATCCCGATGAACGGTGCCACTGTTGTTGTTGTGTCCTCTGTAGTGCTGTCCTGCGCTTGTGTCGCCTCGACCGTGCTTGGTGCTGCAATAGCAACGAGAGCGACGAGCACCGCAACGACGATCGGCCGCCATACCTTCCATGAGGAGGATGACGATCTCCTCTTCCCTGTTACCCTATTACGTTGGAAACGGTGCATGTTGCTGCGGGTATAGTCGTGTGTTGTGTGTCTGGACTGCTGTAGATGTCGTGGTGTGGTGTTGTCGTCGTTGCTCTGTCGGTGGCGTCTCTCTCCCGAAAAAAAGTCGGTTGGGTGCGCTGGTGCGATGAGGCTGTGCAGAATTTGTGAGAGAGTGGGGTGGTGTGATGCGATGCGGACGAGCCTGCCCCTTCCTTCTTCATTGTTGGCCAAACGCGTGTCCACCCCGACCGTGCACGGTGGATTTGGACACGCGTCCCTGTGTCGTGTACGTGTCTTCGTCTCTCATTGGCCCAGCTGTGGTGGAAAATTCCGAGAAAACTTCTTACGGTGGTGCCGGTGCGATCTCTCTCGAGAAATAGAACTGAGCTATGCACAACAGAGAGGCCTAGCAACACATGGTGTATGGTCGTTATTGTCAAGAAGAGGACGCCGCCTCAACAGCGGGTGGTAGATAGGGTAGAGCACCTGATTTTTTTTTTTGAACGGCATGAACCTTCTACAGCCCCGGCCGGAGAAAAACGTTGCTACTCTCCACGAAAACATCATTTATTAACCCTCCCCAACCAGCCTACAGCAAGCGGCCTAAATACCCACAAACACACGCGCCCTGCGACACATAAACATGAAAACCTCGCTGCTTTGTGCGTTGGTGGCGGTGGCCGCTCAACAGGCCGCTGTAGAAGGCTTCGTGTCCTCATTCGCACCTAGGCATGGGGTAAGCCAGCCCCAAGGCTCACGCTATGGCACGTCCTCTGTGCGCATGTTTTTTGGGGGGCCCAGCGGCGTGATGCCGAAGCTATACGAGGGCTGGTTCAAAAAGACGGGGCAAATCGAGAAGGACATCGTCGCCGGCGCCAAGTCGGCCCTAAGGTGTGAAGCTGTGCTGTGCTGTGCTGTGCTGTGCTGCATGGGTGTGTTGTTGTGTGTGGTTGGAGGCCCGCGTCCAAGTTGTGTGGCCTTACCATAAGTTGGTGTGTTCGTTGTTTTTTCATGATCCCCGTACGTCGCAGATTTCGCAGTCCGAAAAGTGGATGCTTCTGGAGATGTAGTCTGCCGCTGTCTTTGGACCGCCGTCGCATGCTCTACTCCAGTGCAACAGCAAGCAGTGCTGCCTATCGCCTGACGTCTTGCCCATTCTCCACTCTGTCTTTTTCTTTCTATCGTCCCTATGACCGTACCCACACGATCACTACACCTACCTCAGCTGCGCTTATATGTACAGAGCAACAACCTTGCCTTTCTACGCGAGCAGTTCAGCAGATCCTTCCTCCCTTCAAATATTCTCACGACCAAGCGTGTTCTAACAGCACTCCCAGAAAAATGTGGGACTCACTTCGCCGGAACTTGAACTCCTATTTTAATCCGCTGCTGTATTCTGAGAAATCCTCAAGCCGGTTTTCCACCCACAGCAGTAGCTGTATCAAGTCAAACAAGTGCAGCATGCAGTCTCTCGTGCATGGTACACTAACGGTAGCGGTGTTATTACAGAAGTCCCCCCTTCAGCTTGTTTGATCGCTTTTGTGTTTGCGTTACCTGGGAGCCCTTACATTTATGTACTTAGCAGTCATCTTAGCAATTATCACGTTCAACAATTTTTTTGTGTTTCTACGGCCGGTAAATTGCCATATGTTGGCATGGGCATGATACAGCAGTACGAGGAGGAGGCGGGAGAACTGCTGTGTAATGTAAAGGTTGAATTAAGAGTGTGATATACACATCGGGCACGTGAAATCCTTACCGTTATACTACGAGTAGGGTGATAGCCAGAGGCCCAACACCCGAAGACTTGTCATGGAAAGTGCAGCCATCTGCAGCAGTTCGCAGCTGTTCGGTGCCGATGGCACTCATATCTAGGAATATGTTGTATCGGGGTAGCCGCGGTGTGTGTGGTTAGTTTTATTTAGCACACTAATAGTGCTGTCCATAGTTCTGTAATACAACGAAGAGCGTCGGTGATGTGGAGGTGGCGGCTTGTGGCCCTCCAGATCGAACAGATGCCGGGAGCTGACCAGGGGTGCATTGCTGGAACCATCTTCTCCATCCCTGCTCCCCGCCGGCTTCACACGCTCTCTGCCCCGAACAGAGGCAGCGCCGAAGAAGCAGACTCTGCCAACGGCAGCGCCATGGGGGTCGTGAGGGAAGTGATTACCCCAGCCCCCGCCGGAGCTCAGAAGCCGAAAAAGGGGCAAAAGGTCACCGTGCACTGCACCGGCTACGGCAAGAACAGGGACCTTTCCCAGAAGTTTTGGAGCACTAAGGACCCCGGCCAGGTGCCCTTCAGCTACTACATCGGGCTAGGAAGTGTGATCAAGGGGTGGGACGAAGGTGTGCTGGACATGGCCGTCGGCGAGGTGGCGAAACTCACGTGCTCACCGGAGTACGGCTACGGCTCCTCCGGATTTGAGTCGTGGGGGATCATGCCGAACTCCATCCTCTGCTTCGAGATCGAGGTTCTGTCCATCGAGTGATTTGTTGTTGTTGCTCGACTAGAATATAGAATAGGAGGGGAGGGGAGGGGAGGGGAGGGGCGAGAGGGGTTCGACTCTGTGTAGGACGTCTGCTAGAAATTGGAAGAAAGGGCAATGGCGCGGATCGATGGCTCGGTGATACCCTCAGGCAGGATTACAGATGGGCTTAGCGGTCGCCAGGTGGACGAGAAGGTTTTATCGTGCCGGTGGCGCTTGAAGAAGGAACGATGCTGCGACGAATTGCGAATGTGGTGGTATTGGAAAGACGAGAAACAGCGATCGCGTCGCGTATCCTGCTGTATTTTTCCTTTCCTAGGAGGCAAGTTGTTCGGTAGTCGCTTCCGCTGGTGCCATAGTCCGTGGGGAAGTTTATTAGATTATGCACCAGTACACCGAGCCGTGATGTCCTGCAGCTGGAGGCCTTGTGCCCCTTGAGCCCTTGAGGTGTGGCATTGGATCTTCGGGGATTCGATGTCTGAGCACCTTGATGGTGTCTAAGACGTCTAGGGTTAGGGTTTAGGGTAAGTCGTGGCGTTTCGCGAATTGTGGAAGAATGGTAAATTCGTGCTGGAGTCGAGGTTTGATTTTCGGGCGGGGTGTACGCATAGGGAGCTACGAAAGAGGTTGGCGACTTGGTTTTCGCGGGGCTGAGAACAAGATTTAGGTTCATAGTCGATGCTGTAGTCGGCGGTGTTCCGTTGCTGGTACCAACACGGTTCATATTCCCCGAGTGGCGGTTTGGGATGGACCGCTGCACAGGAGGTTCTCATCGCACCACTACAGTGTACTAACAAGTACCAAAGCAGTCTAGCTATAGTGTACTTCTATATGGCAATCGCGATGTGTCCACCTAGAGAACAAAAGAGTAACCGAGTCGCCTGTCCAGTAGCGGATTGATGTACTCGCACTTTGGCGATCCTCCAGGCCAGGCATTGTTCCACGGTAAAGGATGCGTGGAGGAAGGGATTTTTCGTTTTTCATCTTCTACAAGGAGGTCGAACATCATGCCTGAAACGATCCTAGTTTACTTTTCTCACTGCATGTAAGTCCCAGGCAGACTGACTGTGACGGTTGTTTGGTATAAGGCAGGACCAGTATCGTGTGGGACACATCATTGTCGGCGTGCCATTGGAACGTGAAGGTAGTTTACTTGGATACAGGAACACTCAAGCCTACGGTGGTGTGTGAATACCTTGCACGCAGTCAGCAAAGGATGGCGATTCAAACCTCAGACCTCAGAACACTCTCCGACGAGGCACACCTTCCGTTACATCTCGCCCTCAATCATCGTGTTGCCCCTAAAGCTCGTCACGAAGGGACACCGCAAAGCGAAAAAGGGCCTTATCTTCATATCTTCATATGTTCAGTGTGCCCGTCCTTGCCCGACACCTGTATGCGTGTGTATGTATGTAGATCGTGCCAGTTTGCTGCGTGATTCGTAATTCTGGGTATCTGGGTGTTTTAGAGAGAGAGAGCTCCCCGGCCAAGGGGGGGCGAGTGGACATACCGTCCAGGGCGGAGCGCTGTGTCTTGCATGATGATTTGCGTGAGTAGCTTCTTCTTTTTTCTGGACTCCTGTGGACGGTTTTATTACGACCATGGGCGCTCCCTACATCCGTAGAGGTTTACGACGACGATGCTCGCTCTCTCTTATGGTTCTCCTGTCCAAGTGCTCTTCGACGTACATAGGTTCCGAGTTGGTGAGATGGACGTGACTTCGTTTTCGAGGGAGAGGGGAGGGTCTACCCTACCCTACACAATGGTTTCAACATTTGTCTCAAAAACGCAACAGCAACAATAACAGGTACAACAACTACAACGAACCGTTACATCAACAACAAACAACGTACCATGAAACCCTCCTCGAATCGATGACACGCTCTCTCTGAAGCAACGAAGCTAACTTGGCCTGAAGCGGAATAACTTGCCGCCACTGGAGACCATTGCTAGTCGTGTACTACGTGTGATGTGTGACGCTGCCGTTCCCGTGGGTTGCTGGTTGCTGCCGGCTGGTTACGTTTGCTGCCCGTTGATGTCCTTGTCTGCTAGCTCTGACGGATGACTGTAGATCGCATCGCTCTGATGGCTACGGAACTCTTTTTTTTTTGCGGCAGGACGGGCAAGCCGGTGGAGATCTGTTTCTTCCCTGTGCCGAACCTGGAAGAGGTTCAATTTGGAACGGCCACCAACAAGGCCTTCGGTACCGAGGTGGCCAAAGATCTGGGCATGGGCGAGTACAAGCCGGGATCCACCATCCGCACGTACCTCGTGCAGTACAGCAACATTTACTGGGCCAAGAAGGCAAGATTTTGGTGTTGAAGAAGGGCGGGTTAGAGCAGCATACTACGAGAAAGTGTGTTTTTGCTCTCGATCACTGTAAGTATGTGTATGCCGCTAAATTGTAGGCAACAGAACTCTGATTGAGCCTTGCTGGTGTAGAAATTGCCGAGAGTTGAAATCGGGGCTAGAAGAGGATAATGAGACGCTTCGTTCATGTCGTATTCTTTCGGGCATAAGGCGTCGAAACTCGAACGCCTTCTGATGAATATTCAAGTAGGTTGGCTGGGCTTCTTCTGTCCATTTCTTCTGTCCATGCCTCTCGCCGTGTATTCGTTGGGACGCGGACATTTACATCATTTACATGTGCAGGTTTCTGGCGAACATTCTCCGAAGCGAGCAAGAGAGAGCATGCACCCCCTCTAACGGTTCTGTGACATGATGCCTTCAATCTGGTGCCGGATACTATCTCGTGATATCTTCTACGGGGGGGGGGACACGGTGTGAGGCCGAATAAACACTACTCTCTACTGCCCCTTTTCCGCCCCCGCATAAGCGTGTGGGCAGTGGGCTTGGCGTGTATCACCCTGCTTTGTTTTACCGTCATTGTTTCGTTAGTCTAGCCCAAATACTTTCTGTTCTGATCGAGCGTTTGATCCGGTGGCGATTTTGTTGTTGTTTCAGCTTGCAGATGGTCTGGGAGGGACTTGCTGGGTGGCGACATCTGACGGTCTCAAGAAAGACACCTCGGTCATCAAGAAACCAGGAAAAGCAAAGTTCTGTAGCCTCCGGTAAGGCTGGTAGCCTCACATCAAATCACATCACACCACATCACATCACAGGAGAGAAATGCCTAAAGCTGTTTGAAGTGGCGGGGCGGCGATGTGTTACTATGCTCTTGCAGATATATGTCGTGCTTAGTTGTGGGTGGGTGTTCTAAGCAGTCGCTGCACGACTTGACCACTTGGCATTCTTGTCGAACGTCGATCATGTTGGTTTACCCTCAACCTTGTCGTAATACCATCTGTGCCTGTGCTTTGTTTCGATTGGGAAATAAACCTCTGCAGCCACCAAAACTAGCGCCGACACGGCAGTTTTTTCCTACCATTGTGCAACTCAAGGCGACTGTGCTGATCTCCCATCCCCCTCACGAAAGCATGACTGCCTCCCGCCCTTGGTGGTGGTTTAGATTAAGTGGACAGTGGACACACGACCAAGCAGAGTTCCACATCACAAACACTGCGTCCGCCAACAAACGCTTAATCTTGCCACACGTCTGATGGTCTGATTGCGTCCGTCCGTCAGGAAACCGGAGACTTTTGCGGCGATGAAGAAAGGGGACACGGTCATCGTAGTGGCACCAGGTCCCACGGCGGAGTGGGCTTCTTGCGCGCAGCGTTTCAAGGAGCAGAAGGTGAGCTTCGGGAGCTGCGAGAGGGAGGAGGGAGGGAGAGAGAGAGAGAGAGAGAGAGAGAGAGAGAGAGAGAGAGAGAGAGAGAGAGAGAGAGAGAGAGAGAGAGAGAGAGAGAGAGAGAGAGAGAGAGAGAGAGAGAGAGAGAGAGAGAGAGAGAGAGAGAGAGAGATAGACAGAGAGAGAGGGAGAGAGACAGAGACAGAGACAGAGACAGAGACAGATGCGCTCAGGGTCCCTGGGAGACTTAAAGAGTATCGTAGAGAGTCGCGTTGAGAAGCGTGAAGGAACGCCCATCACCACAAACGCAAACTTGATTTGGTGGTAAGTGGTACCGTGGTAAGTGCTAAGGCAAGGTTACCCCCCTTGACCGACCGTGGTCACACTAGTAAATTGTCCTTCGGTGCGAGGGCCCTCGGCACCTTCTGACACCTGGCCGGTTCTGCTTGTTCCTTTTTGATTGCTGCCGTTCTATCTGTTCTGTTGTCGGACGGCCGACTCCTCCTTACTACAGGTGATCTTCTTGAACGCCCCTCTCAGCGAGACGTACGATCTAGGAGGGCCCCTCAAAGACCTTGAGCAGGTGAGTGGTTGAGCATGATTGAACACGTTTGTTGATGCTGCTGTCCTTGACCTATGCTGTTGTTGGTGCCGTAGTTCTTGCGATGTTGGTTGGGTTCATTGGGTATCTCATGAACGTCCTTGTCTTAGTGCAAGTTTTTGCGGCGGTCAGTATTCCAAGTTTTTACTTGTTTCTTTTTTCTGTCCTTGAAGGCACCTCCACCTGTAGCTGTCCCAGTACAGTAGCCACCTCCAAACAATCGATGGATCAGTCGCCAATTTTAAAGGATCGAATCAACGTGAGTCGCTACACGCGACCCCTCCCTTGAGTGTGCCTTTTCCGAAGAACACACAGCCTAGATTGTACGAGGCCACCAACAGCGTGCGAGCTTCGTCCTCTGGTACTGCGCCGCGTGTGTCTGGAACAGGGGATGTGGTCAACGGCATGGCGATGAGCACCAATAATAGAAAAGTCAATGCATGTGTATTTCTCCACCTCCTCTTGCACACATCTGACCTGAGAGAGTAAGAGCGACTTCTGTTGCAACCCCAATCGCAGGCTAGAAAAGGAGAAATATTTCGCTCCCTTGTCTCCACTCTACCCTTACTGTTTGCTACCTCCCAACGTTTTCTCGTTCTAAGGGCTACTACCTCAAGCGAGTGAGCAAGGGCTACGTGTTTCGAGTGTCTCCTAAACCTTGGGAGGCTTTGCTGGAGAAGCCGGGGGGCGGCCTGGAGATCCTGGGCAAGTACAACGAGAAGCCTCTGCTGAGGAATGTCGCCAAGGTACGGAAGAGTTTGTATTTGTGGAGGCCTCGTTCTCTTACGAAACCCTGGCTCTTTAAGCTTTAAAGATATTCTATGAATAGAGCCGTCTCTGGCACGGTGATCAGCGGAAGGATGTTGTCGTTGGTTTGTCGGATGTAAGTTATGTTTGGGTTGTCGGAATATCGTTGTTTTGGGGTTTACTGTATCGGATGACTGATTTAGTTAATTAAACTCAAAGGCGGGCGTGCACCGCAGGGGGGAGTGGTTGTATGCGAACCCGATCTATAGGTCTTGGGCTATGAGAGAGGCAAGGCTGTACGACAAACACTTCCGCAACCCGTGGTGAAGGAATGGGATGACACACAGAAAATGTCTTGGATGGAACCATCCACAGTAGTAATTGCAGCCAACACTGAAACAATTAGCAGTTATTGGCACAGTTAGCCGAGGTTACTATGGACACATTGCCCGTGGTGAATCCAACGGGGAATGGTTCCCCGTACAGCTTGTGTCTGCTTTGTTCCTTCCAGCGACGTTTTTTTGGCTTCGAGATGATGAAACGTCGCAGAGTTCTACCCAAAACGCGGCCTGTTGGTTGTTGGTTGTGTGACCGTTTCGTTGGTGTTCTGTACTCTCCTAACCTAACCCCACCCACTCCCTCTGAATTTGGATGTCTTCCGGATTTCCTGACCCTGCCATTCGCAGGTTGTGCGCTCTGAGAGCATGAAGCGCTTCGGCATGTCCAACGACCGCTGGACTAACGACAAGAGGCTTGGCGGTCGCCTTTGAAAAATGTGGGAGAGAGAGATCTTGCTGGAGACAAACCCATGTTTTCGGGTGGCCACTTCCGGTCAAGATCGGTGGTGTATGCCTAACATGACATCGGGCATATAAATCGAAGTTCTAATTCACTGCTTTGGCCAGTCTTTGCCCACCATTTTTCTTGTTGCAGAAGGCTGATCCTTTCCGTAACATTTTTGACGGCGGCAAGTATGTTGGTGGAGATCCGGCTTCGAGTAACAGCGGCATGCCCAACCACATTAAATTCGTTGTATCTACGTGGTTTAAATTTTTAGAACAATACCGTGGTTTACGTTCACTGCGGTAGAAATTTGTTGTTGCCATCCTCCATCTCAATCTCTCGTGTGAATTGCATGTTTAGACGGCATGATTCGCACATTTGTAGCAAGTAAATCGGAAGGGAGGGGTGGTACTTGTAAGGGGGGCAACCCGTCCTGTGAGTGGTTGTGCTCTAAACGACGATGCCATCTGGTATAGAGCGCATTGTATAGGCTAGAAATGAAGTTGATGCTGTTCAGGGCGGAGATAGGTGCAGAGAGGGAGAGGGAGAGAGAGAGAGAAAGAGAGAGAGAGAGAGGCGGGAGGGATCCTACGACTTCAGGGCGTTTTGATCGTTTGATGACGATGCATATTTCGAAGATCTTTCAAGAGAGAGGGAGAAAGTTGTTGTTGTGTTTGCGTACGACATGGAAGTGTTGACGAATTACACCGTGATGACAAAAGCGAGTAAATATTTATTTTACCTACGTGTTCTTAACAACGACAACCTGGGGTAGCGAGACGGTGCAATTTACTTTGCGTTTTGATCCGTTCCGTTTCGAGATTGAACAAGTCTTGTTGGAGTGTTGGTCACCATGTTCTCCAACCAAGTATATGTTAAACGGATGAAGGAGAGATGCGCGAAGCCTCATTTTACTGGGGATCTTGCCCCCCTCTGCTAGACTTACGGTGTACGGAAAAAATGTTTCGATCCGACCTTACTTGCGGTGTCGTTGCGTTATCCCTACATCGTACCAGAAACCTGTGACAGCCGAACCTGAGGACTTTTGAAGGCTCCTTCTGCAGCCGACCCTGTTGAAGGGTGTCTCTTACCGTCTTGTCTACTTCTCACTACAGTAGTTAACTTGTTCCATTGAAACCTCAGGAATTGAATAACCCGGAACATTGTCGGAGCATAGCATAGGGCACACACAAGCGCCAAGTGCAGCACGAAAAGGTGCATGCCAACGCACGTACCGCCGCACAACGACGGATACCTACTTGTATACCTTCGATATGATTGGACCTCGTCAAATGGTCAACGCGCATTTTGTCGTGTCTCAACGTACAGCAGAAGTCGAGGAGCATCGCACTGCTGTTGGCAGCAGCACTAGAGTAACAAAAACATTTACAGTAGTACGGGTGCCTTATCCGTTGGGGAACGAACGAGTGGCCCCCAATCAAACCCCGGCTAAACTGGTCATGTCGGGAAACATTCCGTTCTACCGTACATGTGTGTGTTGCCGTTCGCCAACAGCCAGACGCGGGCGAAGCCGACACACTTACAGAGAGGCGCCGAGGGTGTTGAAAACAAGGGCGGTCCATAGCGCCTGGTCGACCCCGATGGCTAGCCACGCTCCACCACAAGCACTGAACGACATTGTCTATTCGGCGGGAATACTTCCTGCTCGATAAACAGGATGAGAACCACCGACCTTGGGGCTACAGAGCCTCGTCAAAACATGCGTGAGGTGACCCCCGACCATAGTGCAACTCCGACCAACGCGCTGCATTCGCTTGGGTGAGTGAATTAGCGACCAACTAGGGCTGGTAAGACTTGTCGTTTAGTGCTTGAACTTTCCCCTAGGGTGGACGTGTATATCGGCATGCGGCAGATTGGATTGCTGCTGTCCAGTATCCAGAACAATATCCTTCCTGTGTTCATAGCAATCATCACAGCAGTGGTGTGTGGGTAGAGAGAAGGCGCGAGAGAATATACGTTGGACATGACCCTGCTTCCCCGACAAGGTTGACCGATTTCACCCCGTAAGAGAAATTAGCCAGTGATTGGCAGGCAATTCTCGGCGCAAGTTGAACATTTGCTGTAGCCGTATTTTTGCTCTTGAAGGGGCGCGAAAAAACAGCGTTCGTGGTCGGTTGTCGGTGCATCATGAGGTTGCCACGTTGTTGTAACCAAAACTGCAAACTGCAAACCCGAAGGCGAGGGACTCGACGCTAAAGAATTTCATAAAGGGAACTCCACGTGTTAGGTTGGGAATTGGAATAGCTGTGATGGGAATGGGAGCGTTCGAGACTGCAGAGCCGTGTGCATTGATTGGTGTAGCAGAGAGAAGCAGGAGAAGATACCAAGGGAACATGGGAACTGAACCAAATGCGGCACAACCTTCATTCGCCAGTCCGGACCGCAACGCCGCCCATCGGGCGGCCCCCAGTCTGCTCTCACAGAGCGATGCGAAGTACGAACTGATCAACCTGACAGATTTTGCTGTTCCATACCACCACTCTCTCCCTACTTGGGCCTCATGATCAGACTGAGATATGACGCTATGAAATGCTTTGGTTCCTTGCTTGTGCTGCTAGCATTGCTCCAAAGCGTTGCTTCGTTCGCGCCAACGCCCGTCAGAACCAGCAGCCGGAGTTCACGACACGGCTGTCCTACGTGGCAACGTGGATCATGCAGCGTCGACAGCAGCACCCGAAGATATCGACAGCAGCAGACTCTCCACGCCACCAGTAGCAACAACTGGTTCGCTCAGGTGGGTGCGATTTAGACTGCAATACAAATGGATTTAACAATCATGATTGTCTACATATAGGCCCTCGCCTGTTGCGACTACTGGTAGACGCCTGTACTGCTGTAGACTATAGACTAGCAACACCAATCGTTGCAGGCAGTGGGAGTATACCGTATATGACACAAGAAAACACACCCCGGTGATAACATTTTGGAGTTTGAAAATATTATCACCGGGTGTGGTATCCTGTGGGGGGGGTGGTATCTTGTGTACCCCCGGTGATAAAGTGCAGCTCGCAGAGGCCCCTACGGGGGGGGGGGGGGGTACTCATAGCCGTGCATGCCGTAATCGTTTGACCATTGACCTCGCATCCCTACAAAGCCGGGACGGAGCACGCCGGGTTCTCACCGGACCAGGCTCTCACATCACCAAGCGCGAAGCGCCGTGAGGTATTTGGCGAGTCGCATGAAGGGTGAGCTGCATCCTGCTAAGGGTGTTCGGCATCTTGTGCTTACTTCCTTGCGTACGGATGACAGCTACGTATGACTTAATTTATTTTCTGGTGCTTTCACTTCCAGAGACAGTTGTAAGCACTGTGTAACTGCCTCGAGGAAGCTTGACCATTTTACACAACGTGGTGCGATCATCCCCCGTTGCTCGGAGTAAGGGTTCTCGACCCCGCACAACATAATCTACTCGACCACCATTATGGTTACCGCCAAAAAAAAACCGAGGTAAAAAAAAAAAACGGTAACCTGGTTGCCGAGTTCACGAAGTGAGTTGGCTTGTTTTACAACGTCGTTGCCAAGCGACGAAAACCCAATCCCGATGGCAAACACCGAGTGGGGGGCTTGTTTTACAACGTCGTTGCCAAGCGACGAAAACCCAAACCCCGATGGCAAACACCGGGGGGGGCGGCTTGTTTTACAACGTCGTTGCCAAGCGACGAAAACCCAAACCCCGATGGCAAACAAGGCCGAGGGGGAGGGGGGGAGGGTGATAAAACAGGGGGGGTGATAGCGCGTCCGAACACCCACAGCGTGTGTTTGGGGGTGTGATAAATGAGGGGGTGTGATAAAAGGGGGTGTGATAGCACGTCCGAAAAGCCACAGCGTGTGCTTTAGGGTGTGATAAATGAGGGGGTGCGATAAAAGGGGGTGTGATAGCCATGCCTGCACGTACACGTGCAGTGTAGGGACCTACCTAAAGGGGCGTGGAAAAACAAAGGGGCTCAACCGAGGTGACGAAACTCCTGAGCACATGACCTCGGCGATAACTCAACCCTCTCATCGCCAAAAAAAGTTTGAAACAAAATACGGGCTTGCATCGAGCAAGAAAAAATTAAAAACCGAAGGTATCTCGACCGATACGATGATTGGCGGTGGCCACAGACTGTGTGCGCCATCCGTCCTGCCCCCCTCACCAAAACGTGTACTTGGTACTTGCGTCTGCATTCTGCTCTGCCTGCACGTTCATTGTGTTGGGGGTCTCCATGCGGGGTGTTTCCCCTCACACAGCTGACGTGGTTGTGTGTGTGATTGCCCAGGGCAGATGCTGTCACCCCGGTGATAAAGGAGGGGCCCCGTGACTATATGCGGCGTAACTAAAAATATCACCGGGGTGTGCTATCTTTTGTACCCCCGGTGATAAATCGATGGTTTGTCAGAAGCGCCCAAAACTTTCACCGGGGTGTCGTATTCTGTGGGGGGTGTGCTTTCTTATGTAGGTGTGTTATCTTGTGTCATATACGGTAGTACTACAGCTGTAGTTTACTGCTGATGAACCTGTGGTGGATACTACTCGAAATACGTTCGCCTGTGTGCAGCATCAGTAGGAGGCACCTGGTAGCAACAAGAGTTTTTCCGGGGGAGGATGAGCGCGAAGCTTTGCTCACTTTTCAACGACCACTCTTTGCCACCTTCGGTAGGGTAGGGTAGGGTCATTACGGGGTCTACAACGCTGCGAAAAGGGGGACGACACTTGTACAACGCCCCATCGTCTACACGACGCAGGGTGTGAAAGTTTGAGTCGCGCGAGGAACCCATTGTTGTTGAAATAGCTGATGATGAACATCGCTGGCAGCAATCCCACCCCTGACGCTCCCCATCCGAACTCATGTCGTGCAGTTTTGGCCCAACCGGGAGGACAAGACTGGCGAGACGTTGGAAGCTGCCAAGAACAAGTTGAAGCAGCGGCTCCTCGACACCGTCCGGGATACAAAGCGAGGGATATCGACCAGCGAGGAGCAACGAAAGGACATTGATGAGCTGATTGCAGCTATAGAGCCTTGTGAGTTTACTGCTGCGCCTTGAGAAATAATTTCACATCAGGAGACTAGTCATCACACTCGTCATGTAGTTACAATATAAAGTAACTCAAGATAACTGATCCATCTCTAAATCAATCAAATCAAGTCAAGTTCTTTCGAACTTGCTCTAGAGAGGTGTCCGGTTTCCCTATTCCATGCCCCAAATCCTCCCCAAATCTCGAGCTGATATTTTCAAAAGATGTGTCGTCCAAATGGTGAATTGAAGTCTATCGTAAGCCAAGAATCACCCACAACCCACTTACAACAAACGTCGTACGTGTAAAGGCCAAATAATTTACTGACACATGTACCTGCGTCGCTCCTGTTTGTAAGTTGCAGCAGTTCTTCCGTTGTTTGCATCGCTTTGTAGCCTGCCCCCTTGCGACGATTTACCACCTCTGGTCTGTTCAGGCTGTGATTGTTGACCGTTGTCGTCATCGACCAGACGATACAAGCGACAAGCTGCGGTGCATAGAAAACCTTGTGGAACACCACCGCCGGAAAATTTGAAGTCTGTTCGACCCACGGCAGCACAGCAGTATTGTGTCGCATGCTGAAACCCTGCACATTTCGCCCATTCCCTACACTAACGCACTCAGACCCCCCACCCCCCGCCCCCGCTGCTGACACAGTCAATCCGAACGCGAAATCGGTGACGAGTGAAAGCTTAAGCGCGCGGTGGATCTTGGAGTGGACAACGGAGCGCGAGATAATTTTCTTGATGGAGCGAGGCTTGCCCGGGAAGCCGTCTGGGCCGGTGGAGCAGGACATCGACGTGGATGCCAGGACGCTGTCCAATAGGATGATCTTTGGAGACGACTCCTTGTTCGAAGTGGCGTCGTCGATTGATCCGGAGGTGGGTGCTTTCTGGGAACGGTTTCGAAGAGAAGTGTTTGTGGAAAATCATGAACTATTTTTGTGGTGGGCGGGATGGCGTTGAAATTATTAATTGGAGCCACGCGTCGAAGCTATAAAGTCGCAAGGATAGCCTCCCAAGTCATCGGATTGATGGCGTATTCTGAGCATTTCCTGTCCCTTGGTTGAGGCCGATGGTCCTAGAGATGCGAATTTTCCGAGCAAGTCACCTCTGTGGGTCCGTATTTTGACCCGAAGCGAGCTCGCTTCAAGGATCGTCCGCCTTCTTCGCAGTGTATGCTATGTGTATACTACGTTGTAGGATTTGGAGGCGCGCTTGAGACTAGCTTGTCCCCGCGGCCGTCTGTGCCAGACACCTGCTACTTGTATATTAACAGTATTGGCAAAGACAAAACATGGTACACTTGTCTTGAGTCGTAGGGCAAGGGCACACTCGCGAAACACGTGTCCTACATTGGGAGCATTGGGATGAGTGGCAGCAAGCTCTATTACATTGTTATCGTGTGATGGCTTGTTTTTCCACATCCTGCGTGATGGAACAAGTTCGACTTCAATTCGCATGATTGAAGAAGAGATGGCGGGCACAAGCACGTTCGTCAGATTTTCTGTGACCGATGAGTGTTTTGAAGTAGTTTCAGGAGTCGTGTATCCTATCCTCCTGCACTTGGATTCGGGGACTTGTTCGGTTATCTTTTTGTCTTGCTCATTGTCAAGGTCAAAGAAAGCAGTTACAGGATCCCTGCCCTTCCGACTGGGGGCGCTGTTTCAAGTTTCAATTGGGGTGTGGGAGGGATCCCCTCTGGATAACGCTACCTCAGATTTTGATCGACAACGCTATTGGCCTATTAGCTCAAAATTGCGTGGGCAGCTAGAACAGTCGACCTCCCCCGCCAACAAAGAAGCGCCATCGCACAGCAGTATTCGCGCGCCTTATCATAATCCTGTGCTCCATAAAATGCCGCGGTCCATCTCTACGACAGGATTCTGGGCCACGGGTGAACTTCGAGTTCGAGGCGTGCAAGCTTAAATACGGGGGATTCACCATACCGCTGCCGCCGGTTGGAAAGGTAAGCGGACGAAGTCAGCCATCATGTCGTCATCTTCGTCCTCTCGTGTCGGCGTCTGAAACACTTGAGAGAACGTCCGTTGGTGTTGGTGAGGTGGTAAAGAATAAGGTACGTATTCGGCAACCATATGTACCAGTACGTCTGTGGTGTAGACACGGGTTTCGTTTCGTGTGCTTGCCTCTTGGTCGCGTAGGTATCCAAGTAGCCTCACCCCGTTCACTCACATTCTCTCTTGACACCCCTCACACGTGCCCCTCCCCCCCCCTTTGTTGTTGCTTCACCCCACTTGTGCCTGCCCTACGCTCTGTCGTTCGAACATGGCGACTCATGACGCTGGGTACTGCTCGGGGATCGTTGCCGTCATTTTCGTCACCCCAATGTTGGTGCACAAACTACGAACGAAGGGTTGGTTCGAGAGCGTTTACCTTGACCAAGACTTGAGGGTGACTAGAGACGTAAGAGGCGACGTGACCGTCTTGGTCAAAGGTCAAAAGGAATAAGTGCTCTTGATAGTTCCGGAGAAGGGTTAGACGACATGGGCCCCAGAGGATATGAGACTTGCTTGAAATCATTAGTGGCGTGACAGACATAATTTGATGCCGCTACGTTGTGGTAGTCTATAGGGCTAGGGGTCCAAGGTGTGCATACACGTACTCGTCTTCCTTTGCTGAATCTTTGTCGCGCAGGCGGTAGCATTTCTCGTAGTCGGTTGTCTAGAACTAAAACGACAGCAGCTGGGTGGTTTCTCAGGGTACACAAATAGCAGATCACCCGCAGAGGTTCGCAATTGCACAACACTGCGCATAACATGTTCGTGACACACGGCGCTCTCGTTCGTCTCTCAATGGCCACTCTCGGTACAAACGTACATAGTGTAGACCATATGTCGTTGTTTGTTGCGTGCATAAAAATTCCTTGAACAATTCAATCCCAGCGGACATTGACATAATATTGCCCCGCGGAGTTTCGTGGCTGATGAAAGCTTATGGTATTGGTCAAGGTCAAATGCCGATGTAGGCAGAATCCACGATGCAACCGCGACGCAATGCTGTGGACCAAAAAAGACGGCGGAAGAATCATATTTATAGCAATAGGAAGGCAGCGCCGCAGAGTCAACCATCTCCTCCTCTTTGGAGAAACGTCCAAGCAAGTGTGGCCTGGTCTCTCTCGGCATCTTCCTTGTTGCTCGCTCAACTCACCGGTATCAATCACTCAATGCGAAGCCCACTCAACCGCAAACATAGCCATTTGATGCACTAAATGCTCAACACCGCCGAAAATGCGTTCCATTGTAGTGATAGCCTATATGCAGCAGCTGGCTGCACTGACCGCTGCTTTACGACGCGGCAGGCGCAGCGCTTCATTGCCGGACGGAGTGCGGAGGGGGGGCCTCAAGGCATCCCTCCCATGCCATCCCGTCCCCGACTTTATGGCCTCGCCACAGCCGCCCGTCCAAGTGTTTCACAGCAGCAGCAGTACCCCGAACCACACCCAAGCCCCAATGCCCTGTAAAAAATTTGTCCCCAAACGCAGGGGCCGAATGCCTAGGTGTTCCCTCCCAAGGGCGATGGCATTGGCGGCTATCACGACTCTTTGCTCTCCTTCATCATCGCTTTCCTTTCCTTAAAGCTAAAACCGGGAGGACCGTCAAAACATCAGAGGGGAAAAGGCACGGGGGGCGTCGACGGCAGTAAGGGGGATAAGGTTAGCTTCGCATCAGCCATATCGCTTCGGATTTTGTCGAAAGTGGCAGCAGCGACAGGCGTTTGCTACGGCGGGAAGGGAAAAGTAAACAAGACCGCGTCTCGGACTCGACTTTTTCGAGCTTCAGTTGTCGTTCGGGAGCAAACAAAATGCCTTGAGGTTTAAGGGCCACCGCATCATTGGTACGTGCCACAGGTGAGAGGTAATCGCCCGTTCGGCCACTGAACTGCTTCGAATGCACTGACTCCTGTGACAAAAGGCTTGCAAGACGTTTGCAATGGACCGTATACAGCAGTACGGCAAGTTTCGCGGGGGGGGAAGAGGTACAATTGCACTTCACGTTTTTTAGAAGCGCTGCATGTTGCCAGTGGCCAAGCGCCAACTTGAGCAGGAAACCAACCTGAGTTTACTTGTGCATGCGAACCAACAGCTGTGGGCCAAGGAGGGACAACGGCACCGCCCAAACAGCCCCCAAAACACGGACACGGGCGCATGCACTGGGAAAGAAGAAAGGAGGACACAGTTGTCGCAACCACGACTCACTCGAGATACTGGCACTTCTCGTAGATGTGACGCTCGTGCGAGCACTGCCATGGCAAGTACATGGTGGATCTCCTGCACTTGTTGAGGGGCAGCAGCAGGTGGGCGCACGAGTCCCGGAAGGCCATGGGCATCTTAGCCGCAACCATCTCCTCCTCGGTCGCCTTGCCCTCCATGCCGTCGTGGTCACCTCCCATCGTGCTTAATTGCAGCAACAATCGAAACGCTTATTCTCGTGTCTGTGCCAGCATTCAGTTCATTCGTCGGGAACAAGAAACAGACGGTCGGTGTTAAAAACTTCTTCCCTCGGCACAACGGTCGCGGGCAGGTTCGCAATCAACGGAAGAGGCGACAGCAGTTGCCTTACCGCGGCAGGCAGATTCCGCAACAGGGGGGCGGCAGATGGCATGATTTCAGGTTCGAAGCCACAGCAACAACATCCTGAACTGGTGCTGCACATGGCTCGCTCATATTGCAGTGGTGTGGGGCACAAGTGCAGCGGTTGTCAAACAGGGAATTCTGCTCACTGTAAGGTACACCCCACCAGCTCAGCAGTTTCTTGAAGACCGCGGCTCGTGTGCTCAGTACTTCTACTCGTTTAGCATCATAAGACCACAGCACAGCTGCTGTTGTACCAAAACCAGCCAGCAAACAGCCTGAGCGACATACACCCTGCACATTGCTCCCGTTCGATGCTTGAGTTGTAGCTCTATAGTCCTCACTCCTTGCCTTACATCCCCGTCGCAAGCTACAGCGGAAGTCAAGACATCATCATCCTATCATCATCATTCCGCGATTCCGCCGCACCTACAGCTTGTACCCGATTGTAAATACCTCACACAAGCACACACGCGTCTTAAAACGATAGACCAACCCCTGCACATGTCGCAGCGGTGTGGCTTGGAGCTCGGGCCTCGACACACTCGAAGCTACGCCATCCACAGGCACGGCGGGTACGAGGTTGCATCTATGACACGAAACGATGTTTTATGTTTTCGACCGGCAAGCTATTGTATGTATCACCGCTCTCTCCATCTACATTTCCTCTTGACCCCGAAAGCAAGTAACAACGGAACTGCTGTTTCTGTACTCACCCCCTGATCGCAGCCCTTGCCTACGTCGTGTGACTCGAGACTCGAGACTCGACACAGAAGACCAACGACTCCTGCTGTGCTGTAGCGACAGCAGCAGACTGCTGTGGCAACCAGGCAGGACCCCTTCACCCAGTATCATACGATATGCGTGCATGACGTCTGCGATCCACAGACCCCCCCACCCCGACCGCTTGCGACCGCTTGCTGTGGCGCGCTCTCCCGCTCTGCACACCCGCTGTGCTCTGCCAGTGCACAACACCATGAGCCAGGCCGTGAAGAGGATATCTCCATTCGCTGGTGTTGCAGCTGGTGGATTGGTCGCGGGTGCTGCAGGCTTATGGGCCTGGCGTAGCAAGAGGTACGTCTGGTATCCTGACTACTGCTTACATAAATGTCCCGCACGCACGATTGTGCGGTGTGCAAGTGTGCGTGTGTAGAGAACTTAGACCCACGGCGTGGCTCGGTACTCGTAAAATAAGGTGATACAGCAGTGCAACAAGCAGTGTTCTGTTCCGGCGAGAGATCGGCTGCAACCCATAGCTCTTGTTTGTTGTTTGTCGCTAAGGCGTGTGTCTTTCTCTGTCTGTGTCTTTCTCTTTCCCTTTGCTTCTCCATCTGCTCTACAATTCTTTTTTTTTTCTTTTCTTAATATGACACAACGAATCCATCTCTACCATAGAGAAGAGTCTGAGACAGATTAGCAATGAATTCATAGCGTCAGAAAGTACCTGTGTTTCCCTTTCTCTTTCTCCTTCTTTTTCGTTTTCTTTTACTTTCTACTTTTTCTATATTTTTCCAATCTAGGGTTACCTGGCATAGCGTGCAGAGAGGCGAGCGGAAAGGCCTAGACTAGACTATCTGTCGTTGACTTTTTTTGGCTTGCGGACTCTTCGGGTCCATTTTATTTTCGTATACCTTTTTTTGGGTAAGTTAGCCTGCTGTGACCACGGGAATCGACCCCGTCAAGTGTTAGACTAGTACGGACAGAAGAAGGTACTGAGCAGAGAGAACGGAACGGTATTAAATATCAAGACAACAACAACAACAGCTCTCGAGCGATGCTTGCTCCTCACCCTTGCACCTGGTGCATCTTACTTCTACACCATTACTGCCCTTGTTGGGTGCAACACAATCACTGTTTCTGGCCAAAAGACCAGTAGAAGCAGGTAAAACCGCAAGGCGGACCATCGCAGGAGTACAAGCAAACGTGCTCGAGAGGGAAAAGTAGGTCAGATATCATGACTTCAAAAATCGCCAACGCAGCTCTCTGAATCGACGGTAAGCTGCCACATTACACGTCTGCGTACAGCTGTGTGCAGCAGTGCTCGCACCGACTCGCTTGTTTGAACCTCGCGGGCCTCGTTGGGCAAGGCTCCTACATTCCTCTTCGCTGACAACAGAAGATTGATCGCACAAACATGCATTGCCCAAGCCGGTCACGTTACCTCAAAGGTATGTTGTCGGTGTATCCACCCCGGCAAAGAGGTTTCCCGCCACGCAGCACAAACGAACATGACACCCATGGCGCGCATCATCAACGCTCGATTCTAGACCCGCTTTCCCGCTCCCTCAACACCTACGATCACGCACACCACTTGTTGCAGGGACAACGCAGTCAAAGGTGATGCAACCACAGCACCAGCACCAGCACCAGCACCAGCACCAAGCCCGCCGTTGCAGCGCACCGGGCCTATGGTGGCCGTCTACCTAGACGATTCGTCCATCGAAAAGTTGCAGATGGAGTACCCAGGCACCAAACCGGGCCGGCTGAGGAAGGTGGTGATCGAGTACGACCCTTCCGACGAGCAGCGCGGCTTGTACGAACCTCGCTTCGGTGGCTCGGCGACAGTCAAGGTACGCCTAGGATAAACCAGGTAGCACCGTGTAGGGAAGGCTTCGGTATTGCGCATCCATGACACAGATACAGATAGCTATCTCCTTTCATGACAGCAACCGATCAATGCACGGCTTCTTCCCACGCAAGGGCAGTAGAAACGGCTTATGTACGTGAACCACTGCGGGCCAACGACGTGATTCAAGTAATATTCCATCGCCATCTTCGCCCCCCCCCCCCCCCCA